GGTGTGAGTGCTAGGTGAAAACAATATTCATATCCACACCCACACCCGCATTCTCACTAACACCCACATCCACGTCATACTCTTACCCACACCTACATTCCTACGCACCCACAATTGTAAAGGCAAAATAAGATTTATTGTGATTCGAAGGTAGTTGTTATTTATTATAATAAAGGAAAAAAAATTTGTTAGGAGAGTATGTTTAGATTAAGTGAAAAATATTATGAGTTTTTGAAATAACGATCGGAATTTCATCTGTTGTACTTCTAAAATATCTTAATTCAGTTCTGGAAGTTGTGTAGGTACACCTAATGTAGAGGCTATGTTGTTCATAGCCACAAGCATAAAGAACTGTTGTAATTTCGATGCTTCTTCTAACGTGAGAACATGTGGCACCTCTTCGATTGATTGCTTGTTTTTTTCGAAAAGTCCACCAAGAATACTTTTCGATGTTTGTATTATTAATAGATCAGGTGCTAATTGCCAATCAGCATTGACATCAACAATAAAAAATGAAGCAGTATTGGTCAGACTATCACCATTCTTGAACAAGGTGAGAGAGCGGTAGTGTCCATCCATTTTAGGTGAATAAAGATAGTCAATACGATCCCATGCAAAATCACTTGAATATGTTAAGCCAAGAGCAAAACTTCCTTGTGGAGGCAAATTGTAATCAATAGTAATGGCATTGATGAATTCGGATGCTTTTTCAGCTGGAATATCAATTGCTTTCAGAACGGTCGATCTCTGATTAAAATAAGTAAAACCAAAGCGAACGACTCGTGTGATAGTTGTCGAACTACTTGACTTGAATGCACTGACAATGTCTTTCCAAGCACCAGCAGCAGCTGACAATGCCTTAGATAAAGCAAGAATTTTGTCTGTAAAAACCCGTGGTTCAGAAGCATTGAGATTTCTTTCTACTAAAGTTGGTTTGGTATCAAAATATGATAACATGCGTTGTTCTTGTGGATAAAGTGTACTAGCAGCCATAAACCGTAAGATATTCAATGCAGTTTTCGTTGTTGTTGCTTTCCATGGTGTTGTCACTTTTGGAAGATTCTCATTAAAGAATTCACCACCATCACTTAAAGTTGCAATACGAACAACTTTTAATTGCTTTTCATTATTCTCGTTATTGGCCTCCTCATTTTTTGTATCATTGGATAATAATGTTTTGATCAGAACTTGGGAAGTAATGTTAACAAAAAGAAAATTAAGCGAATATGTTGACTCGTCAACACTTTGACCAACTAGCCAAATGTATTTCATACCTACATGTTTCTTGTCGTCATTTGTGGAAGTAGTAAAGAGATTTTCGTATGAAAATCGTGCTTTTTGTAATTGTTGGGAATACTGCGGATTTTCATACATATCTTCAAAGCCATAATCTTTTGCTAATGTTGATAGTACTATTTGAAGGTTTGCACTTGCTATCTTTGTCATTCTCAATGATTGACTTGACAATCGTAATGATCCTATACTAGACTGTAATGCTGATAAAACTGAATCATTGTATGATGCCAACACCTCAGCTTTGACAATATTACTTGAGAGAAATTTTTCAATAGCGGCAGCTAGAGAAGTATCTGGATTCTTACCACTATTCTGTAATAAATCTCGTTTTCTCAATGTTGGACGAAATGACTGCTGATTGAACCAAGCAAATTGATCAGCTTTCATTTTATTTTTGATTATTTCCAGTTCTTCTGGCGTATTACCACGTGGTGCATACTTAGTTACGTCTTCACAACAACATTTTGATAGCCATACACACTTCGGACATGTATGACAACTACGTTCGTTGTAGGGTGTGGATTGCGGTTTGACAGCTGCATTTGAATTGATGGTTACGTAGGCAACGGCAACTGGTGAGTTTGGATCAGCTGGTAAGTCAAGCTTTTTCGTAACAATGATCAATGTCGATAAGGAAGTGCCTGATGTAGTGTCAAACACAAATGTCTGAGCTGCATATGATCCTTCTGTTGCTGCTAACACCAATACATTGACAGCTTGCACTGCTTGCGCACGGAACTGCTCTGGAATTGACCAACCAGCCATGACGTTACTGAGTGTACTAGTTCCAACTTGCGCTTCACCAGTTGATCCACTTGTTGATGGCGCATCCATATAAGTATTCCAGTTCACTAAAACGAAAAATAAATGAAGAAAATTTGGAACGTTGATAAACTTAGAACTCACCAGGTTGTGGTACATTCAATGCTTCACTTGCTTGCCTGAGCGCAGCATTTGTATCGAGGGATCTACCGGTGACTTTTACCACCGGTGATGCATAATACGCGGTACATGGCATAAATACATGCAACACGAATAACAAAGCATAGAGTTGATTCATTCTGAACCTAAAAAAGCATTTGACAGTGTTGATGAAAATTATTTCTTGGGGCGACTCACTATCTTTCTGTAAGGTCTTTCACAGGGATAGTATGTCAACTTTCAGTTGCTTTAAAAACGAGGGAAACTATACTATCCTATATAACTGAAAAATAATTGTTTTTAAAGTCATACTGTTCTAACAATTTACATAGATATGTCAGATGATTCAATGAATGTAAGGTCAATTGCTGAATCGAAAGTTGTGCAAAGATTATGGTTAATACATGATAATACGATCAAACAAGGACAGGGGTGGCGCGACCGGGGGGGTGTCGGGGGTGTAACACCCCCCCAATCTTTGAAAATTTCTATTTTTTGCTCAACAAAATCGGCAAATTTTCTTAATTTTTTGAACAAAGATCATGCTACACCCCCTAAAAAATCAAAAAAATTTCGCTACACCCCCCCAATGTTGGCTGACTCGCGCCACCCCTGAACAAGGATATATAGAAAACTATATGGAATTTAATTTCACATCAGTTAAAAACTTACCTCTGATAATATTCTTAATAGGTAAAAGTATGTGCTACTGCCAATTACATATGCATATTTATAGTTCCAATATCACTACACTTATTTACGCAATCGGTACGCATTAATTTCGTGTTGTTGAATATTCAATTATTCATTATTACTTCCTCTATTTTTTTTTAAACGAGATATCCTTTCGATAGGTTATTTTTGTGAAAAAATATGAATAAATTATAATTTATCGAAAGATTATTTAATAAATCAGGCCCTTCAACTCAATTTCACAAGGTTTGTTTTCATGTATTCGATAACTGATGAATAACTCTGAATACATAAATAAAAACGAAAATGATATAAATATTTTATATTGCAACGTATAACCAAGACTGTTTGAACCTGTGCGCGTGCCTCGAAGCCAATCTTTCCGTCACTCATACGCTCATCACGTAAATATTGCTGGATATTATGTGTCAAAAATATATACTTCTTTAATATCAAATATAACCCAAAAGAATTTTTTTAACTTTAACTTAGGATAAAGAAGAATAAATAGCAGAGATGGAACCGGGCAAACTTTCTGTGTACACTTCGGCCCGGCAGGATGGTATACGAAGCCAAACTCGTAAAAATCCGGCACACGCATTTGAACAAACAATAACTTTTCTGTTCAGACAGTGACAATGAGTAACCTTCATTAATGATAGATAGAAATTGAAATAAAGAGTCAGAATTATCACTAAGAGCCACTGTCAATATGATGCAATCGAAGCTTCATCTATACACTCATTTATAAAAAAAAAATTTGCGTTACATTTGTTTTCTTTTTATTTTGAATTTATGTCAACATCTATTGCATTCACTCGACTTAAGAACAGTGAATAAAGTACTTTATCGAAGACATAATTCTTACATACACGCAATAGTTGATCATAACAAACTGACGAAAACTTGGTTCGATGCAGCTCAGTCCGGCTCCAGCGCTGATATATTATATTCTTACGATAGTCGGTTTTATTTAAATCGCCTCATTTTGGACAAACGATCAATATGAAGGGTGTGGGTGTGGATACTGTATTCATCTAGTATCTACTCCCAGACCCATATCCACACACATTTACATCCTAGTTTTGCCATATTTTTGTTCGAGACACAATGTAAAAACAGTAAAAAGGAAAAAAAAATTGTTAACTTTCTCGTCGTATGTTAATAATGTTATTCGTTGCTTTTACTTTTTCTCTCTGACAAACGAAAAAAAAAACACCGATTGCTTTTCTCTTCTCACAAATCACCCTGTTTTCGCATGTTTCATCATGGCAATCGTATATTAGAGAACGAAAGAAAAGACGCAAAAGAATGTAAATGTAATCCAGAAAGAAATCTGGTATAAGATTAAATAATGGCTTACTGATGAGATCAATAATAAGCAGAACGGAAAATAACAACCACCAAAAGTGACATGACTGTCAGCACAGTACCATGAAAACAAGTTCAAAACATGTTGTTAATGAGTTTTTATGTGATTTCTTACCCAAAATTTCATTCTAACAGATGGAATTTGTGAAACTACATCTCTAACGTTTTGTGATGGTTAAATGAGTAATAAGAAAACTCAGCAAACCAGCTACACTTATATATATTTTCAAGCGGGTTATGTTTCATAAAAATAACGGTTATTCTTGAATAATAATATTTTAAGATATTAAGCAAAATTTTGGAATATTAAGTTTTTTGTCTGGATTTACAAACAAACAAAGCCATTGTCGTTAAATAATTGAACAGAATTCTCAATTCTGCTTAGTAAACATTCTGGAGCAGCTGACTTTATCATAATCTAATCCACTTTTGAATAAAAATATATGACTCTATTTTTAGGAGTAAGACGTGTTAACTATTCTTTTAATTTATCTATCAATAGACTATACATACAAGAAGAAAATAGCGTTTTTGTTTCTACTATATTTGGTTAAGTCAAAAGAATACCTGCACGCATATCCTAAAGAATGTGTATTTCTTTGAGGCTTCGTGTTAATGTTATCCTTCAAAAATGAAACGATCTTTTTTTTTTACAAATAATCTTTTTAAATAAGATACTTTTTCTAACAGGGGAACTATTATTACAGTTGCAAAAAAAAAAAAGAAAAAAAAAAGACATTTGTATTAGTTCATATAACTAGATAAGTTGTTCTCTTCCCCTACTTTTGTACGCTTTAGATATGTCTTCATATAGGTTCGAGTGTGACAATAAAATGAGCACAAACCAAAAAAAAAGTTACAAAAAAATGAAGAGAACGTGGACCATTACATGCATATATGCACATTTATATCTTGTGGAAGATAACACTGAGGACATAGATATAATAGAGCGCAGTCTTTTTTTTTTTATATAAATAAAGCAAAATATTGAAGAACTACCTTTCTTGCGCAAAAGTTACTTTTTCATATTGTTCGTGTCGAAAAATGATAATAGCTAAAACATTACTAGTTTTTTCATTTTTCATTTCACATTCATATCAACTTAATAATGGTCTTGGAAGAACACCTCAAATGGGTAAGAATAAAAATAATTAAAGTTGTTATAAGTAAAATATTCTTATTCGACAAAGAATAATTTTAAGAAATTTTATTATAGGATGGAATAGTTGGAATCATTTTGGATGTAATATCAATGAGAAACTTATTCAACAAACAGCTGATGCAATTGTAGCTACAGGTCTTGCTGCAGCTGGATATGAATATGGTATGTTTATCTTTGTATTTATTTTTAATCTCAATTATGTGCGTGTTTGTAGTAAATATGGATGATTGTTGGCAAGTGAGTAGAGATGCTCAAGGTGTCATTCAAGCTGATCCAAAAGCATTTTCAAGTGGAATTCCAGCTCTGGTAGATTATGTTCATTCAAGAAAACTTAAGTTCGGACTTTATTCAGGTAAAATTGTCAAACGATTATACATTCAAAAAAAAATACATTATTTGTTTTTATATATTAGATGCTGGATTTAAAACATGTGCTGGTCGACCTGCTTCATTACATTATGAAACTATAGATGCAAAAACTTATGCTTCATGGAATGTAGATTATTTAAAATATGATAACTGTAATACTGATGGAAGTATTCCTGAATTAAGATATCCTGTGATGCGAGATGCATTGAATGCAAGTGGAAGACCTATCTTTTACTCTATGTGTGGTATGTTTTATGAATTAATTATTTTTTTATTATGTTATTTATATAACAGAATGGGGTGTTGATTCACCAGCTCTTTGGGCAGCAGATGTTGGTAATAGTTGGAGAACAACAGGTGACATTTCTGATAACTGGGATTCGATGATCCATAATATTGATATTGTACGATGATTACACGATTTTTTTTTCTTTTATAATTCATATATTTTTCTTCAAATTTAGAATAATGAATTTGCCGATAAAGCAGGACCTGGTGGTTGGAATGATCCTGATAGTAAGTGACTATTTTATATTCTCTAGTATCTATTAACATCATTTCATATTTATTTAGTGCTTGAAGTTGGAAATGGTGGTATGACTGTTGATGAATATGTTTCACATTTTTCACTTTGGGCAATTAGTAAATCACCACTTCTTATTGGATGTGATGTTAATAAAATGAGTAATACTACTCTTTCAATTCTTACAAATTCTGAAGTAATTGCTGTCAATCAAGATTCATTAGGTGTTCAAGGAAAAAAAGTTGCTTTTCAATCATCACAATCACCGAACGCAACAAGTGATGTTGGTATTACTACATGTGCATCAGACATATCAAATATTCAACCAGCACGTCTACAATGGGTATATAATGCTCAAGATGGATCGATTCGTTCGGCATTGAATAAAAAATGTCTTTCAATTGAAAAATGTATTACTGCTGAAGGTGCAAATATTGTATTGAGTGAATGTCAGATTAATGATCCACAAGCACAATGTCAAGGAAAAAATCAACAATGGACATTTAATACAAGTGATGGAAGTATTGTTTCAAAAATGAATGGAAAATGGTAAGTTGTAATTAATATTTGTCAATAGAATGTTTAAAAAATAAAAATTGTATTTTTGTTTTGTCAAAATAGTTTAGATGTATTTAATTTTGATGGACCAAATGTAGATGCATTTTCCTGTAATAAACAAGATAATCAACAATGGATATTTAATACAACTGATGGAAGTTTTCGTAGTAAACACAATGGTAAATGTTTAACACAAGTGCAAGAACTTGAAGTATGGGCAGGACCACTTGCTGATGGTTCAGCAGCTGTCGTTTTACTTAATCGAGGAAATACAAGCGAACCAATTACTGTTCAATGGAGTGATATCGATTTTCCTGCTCGTGATTCAGCTGTTGTTCGTGATTTATGGGCTCATAAAGTTATTGGAGCATTTCGTGGTAATTATACATCACCAAATATAGAACCACATGCAGTAATGATGCTGAAAATTACACTTTTTCAATAGATACAAAAAACAAATTTATTAATTGATTTGACATTTAAGCTATCGTGAGGTTTTCTATTTTTTTTTTCTAAAAACATGTGATTGAATCTTTACGTTTGGAAATAATATTATTTTAAAAATATAATTGTGCCAACGGACACACTGTTGAAGATATTATCAGTTTATCTGCTCGGCCTTCACCTCTTTTTTTCAATCTTTCTTCTGTTCTGTTCTTCTTTGTATCATCTATATAAGACGGTGTTCTGTAGTATATGAGACACAACTGGAGTATAGTACAACGTAGTGAACTTATTCTACACCAAGAATAGCGATAACGCTATTCCTCTAGTTTGTCATTGTGATCACAACTTAAAATAAATAAAATCCTGCAGCAATAACGAAATAATATTCCATCATATTATTCATTCACCCTTTTTCCGTTACAATAATGTCATGATTTTAGATAATATTATTAAACCGAAACGTGTCCAAAATCTTGCAGGTGTGAATAGGATAGATATCATTCACTCTCAGTTACTAACCAAATGTTTAAATAAATAGCTCAGTATACTATATTAAACACATACATTCATGATTTTTTTTACAAAATTGATCGTTATCGAACACGCTTCGTGTATTTGAATTCTCATCATAATAAAGAAGGTTATCGTCATTTGTTTCAATCGATGATCGAGTGAATATAACTAACTTTCATTTAAATTGAATTTTGAAATAAATGATCAAGAAATTTTGATATAATCGATTTCTCACTATTTTCTCTTTAAGTAATATAATATTTAAATATGTATACAATATCTGATAGACTTTTATTTGTAGTAAATAATAAATATAAAAACCACTCGATACGTCAAACAGTTAAAAACATTCACTGACTATATGAATAAATATAGATTGAATATAAATAGTACTGTTATATATCTATGTATATCTGAAACAGATAATAATATTCTCACAACACAGTCGAAAACATCATCATCAACTGTTCATCGATCCTTCAATATTAATATATCGAGTAACTGAAAAGAATTCGATACAACCATCAGTTTCTAGATCTTAAGCGACTCTTCGCTCGTCTGATAGCCGATCTATCAAAATTCAAACGTCACTCATCATTTCGTGAATTTCTTGTGATCTCTTCAGGAAAAATCAGATTACTACGATCAGATATCAATTTACTTGATGACTCATCTACATGTGAGGACAAAAAAGTGTTCTCAACAATAAAAAAAGAACAATTCGGTAAGAAATTTAATGAAGAAAACATTAATCCATCAGAATCGAAATTAGAATGGTAGATAATTACAAGGCATCTATTTTTCAATAATAACACTTTATCATACATGGGTAAGTCATTCAATCGATTTAACGACTTGAATATTAAATCTAGGTAATTGAAATAGTCTCCTATAATCAACATGTGTAAATTTTTTTCTCTTTTGTATTTTTTCTTCCAATAAAAAACAGTAATTACAACATCAGAAGAAATTCATAGCACATGACACGTCAACTAATTCATTTCATAAGAAGAAAGAAAAGAGCTGCAGCACACAACGAAAGAAATCACAACAATTTTTACATCAATGTTCGATAAAACTACAATGTCCCTTCATACATTACCAGTTGAACTTGTCTATCGAATTTTGGATTATCAAACTGATTTAACGATTGTGATCTCAATGCGAAATGTATGTCAACGATTGAATAAAATTGTCGACACTTATTCTCGATATCAAGTAAACTTTGTTGATACTATCTTGAAGATGTAGGTGATACATTTATTTGTTTTGTTTTTTATATAGACGCTTGACACTTTAGATTTATTTTCCTATGAAATTGGAGATGTAGGGGCTCAACGTCTAGCCGGTTCACTATACAACAACACAGTGATTAATTATTTTTTTCTTCTAGCTATACTTTTATTTTTACATAGACAATCACTACGCTAAATCTGTACCAGAATAGAATTCAAGACATTGGAGCACAACATCTAGCTGTTGCACTGAACAATAACATGACACTTACTGCTCTATACCTCGACGGTAATGGTATTGGAGATAAAGGAGCACAATATCTAGCTGATGCATTGAAAAAGAACACGGTAATTTTCATTCGCTCTTTACTTCTCTCTCATAAACATATTCATATTTTTCTACATAGACGTTGATTACAATTGATCTTCGATTCAATCTAATCACAAACACTGGAGCAAAGTATTTAGCTGATGCATTAAGTAGTAACACCGTAATTATCATTCTTTTTTCATTTCATCTTATAAACATATCTGTACTTTTCCATACAGACACTTACAACATTAGATCTTTTTAGTAATCAAATCGGAAATATTGGTATAGAACATTTCGTTAATGCATTACAAATCAATCTAGTAATGAGCATTTTCCTTTCTTCTAATTTCTACAGACACATACATATTGATTTCACATAGACACTCACAACAATAAATCTTCGAGATAATCGAATCAAAACGATATTAGCACGACGACAAAAGACTGAATCTATTTAACAAAATAAATGGATAGTAAAATGTTAACTACAAACAAATAGAATACTCAAACCCACACACTTCAGTTGTCATCACCATCATCTTCTTGATTGTGATAGTTACTATTATTTTTCTTTTGATCATTTTTATACTGTTGATACTGATTATCTCCATTATTTAAATATATTTCTTCAATTTCTTGTTGTATAACAGTTAAATCAGTCGCAGTAAATACTCGTTGAAACACACGATACATTTCTGGATTTAAAATTGCAAAAATAATTCGTTTGAAAGAATTTTTAAATTCACTCGATTCTAAATGTTGTCGAAAAATGAACGCAACTTCTAGTGGATTATTTTTAAAAACACCACAACCAAATGCTCCTAATACTAGGGTATCATGTTGATTAATTTCGAATACATATAATAAACGTTTAATACGTTCTTTCATTGCATATCGAATTGCTTCGGAATCTTGAACAATACTAGCATTAGGAGCTGCAACTGTTACAATACCAACATGATAAGGAGAAGATAATAATTTTCCATTATCATCCTAAAGAATAGAAAAAAAAGAAGAAATGATAAACAAACTAAATTTATTGATTTATACTTTGAGAACGATGACTCGTGGTGAATAAATAATACGATGAGTATAAATACCATTTTTATTACGTCGATGATAACCATAAAATTCATTAAAAAATCTATTTTGAGAGATTGATAAATAAAGTGATGATGATCTAGCTAATGATTCTTCTTGAGCACTAGAACCTCGGAGAAAACCTCCTCCAGGATTTTTTGCAGATGCAAAATTTAATATACCAATACGATCTTCATCCATTTCAGTAACTAATGATTGAGCTGCTTGTAAAGTTGTACAAAGACGAACTTCAAATTTTGTAGGCGAAGAAGTTACATTTGTAAATGATGTTGGAATTTCTTCTTTTATATTTTCTAAAGCATCTTCTGTATAAAGTATACTACTATCTATAGAAAATAGGAGATCTTTTTCAAGATCAATACGATGATTTCCATGTGAACGGTACCATTTATTTTTCAGTTTATTAAGAGTATCGTCAGCAATTGTTACACATTTATCTCTTGAAAGATGATGCACACTTCTCTATTTACACGCTACCGATCGGTCGCATTTTCACATTTCTTTTAGTCTATTTTTTCTCTCTCTCTTTATTTCTCTGCTGGTGGTGTAACACTCCTTGGTTCACCATCGTCAGCAGCTGTCGTTGACACCTAGTTTCATTAGAGTGTCAAGATGTACGACGGTTCCTTGCTACCACCTGAAATAGCAGGAATTTTTGATCGTTTTTCAAAAGACGAACTTCATCAAATAGGTCGTACGCTTATAGAACAAACACAAAATTATGTCGACAAGCAACAAGATACACGTGCATCTCATCTTTTTCGTCCTCCTCTCCATACACATACCACGTCTCGTCCAACACAGCAAAGTAATCTATCCATTCCTCCTCCTATGAATCATCAGCAACGTTATAATCATCAAGCTAGTTCAATAGTACATCCTTTGATGGACCAACAGGGGCCCCCCATAGATATCTCAACGCCAAATCCAAGACGTCCGGCTGGTGACAGTTTCGACTATAGTGGTGACAAGAATCGTAATAACGTAAAACGGTTTAGAAATATTGAACAATCGCCAAGTGTACAACAACAACATCAGCCTCATCAGCCATCGTATCGTCGCTTTAACATCAACACATTGAAACGTGCAGTAGCTAGCAATCTACCCAGCTTCTTTATTACATTCGATCTTTCATCTAGTTCTGTCAAATCCATATCAAATACTCAAGTAGCAATATTATTAAAGAAAGTTCTTGCTGATAATACATGTTCAATAAAGGAACTATCAATGTGCATGCAAGCCGGTACAAATCGTTTTAAATTTGCTGTAAACAACAAAGCTGATTTTTTAAAAATGTTCAACTTTAATTGGCCAAATGAAATTGAAGATTACAAGGTGGAGGTGATTAGACCCAGGTCTCTGCCCGAATGTTTTTCATTGGTGGTCAGATATATTCCGGTAACGATTACGGAAGAATTAGCAAAGGTGGAAATAATGAAAGCTATACCAACAGCTGTAGCGTTTTCAACAATAAAATACCAACGTCAACGTCCTACTTATGATATTAGATTTAGTGTTCCAAATATTGACCACTATGATACAGCTATAGAGCTTGGTCGAATTGCTATAGGCCACCACTATTTACCACTCACACATTTTTATATGGGATATCGTTTAACTTATTGTACTGCTTGTTGGAAAATTGATCACAGCAGAAATCAATGTCAAGCACCGGTTTGTTGCCGTAAATGTTTAGAACCATATGAAAGCGAAGTAAAACATATTTGTTCCGAAAATAATTTACAATGTGCCCAATGTGGTGAAGCTCATTTCTCATTAGATCCGGCTTGTCCGATAATACAAAATTATAAAAGTGAATTGAAACGGGCTGTGGATGATGCTCTAATGAAAGGAACAATTAAAAGAACAGCTCCAGGTGAAACTTCTGAACAATTTAATCGACAAGGTGACGATTTTCCAGTGTTAATAGCAAATGAAGGTGGTGGTCCAGGATGGCATCCAGCTCCTACTAGTACATCTCAACTCAACCAATCTCAACTCAATTTTATTAAGGAGGTAATTGAACTAGGTAAATTAATTAAATCTCTTACAGATTCGATGAACCGTATTGAATCAAAGATCGCTATGATCGATAAACGAATCGAATTGGTTGAAAATCGTAGTACGCTACATAGTAATAGCATTGCTACTATCATTGATTCGATACAGATTCTCAATAAATGGGTTCTAGCGGAACAGAAGGAAAAAGCTAAATTTAAGATTAAGATTGGAAATATAACCGACGAACTCCACATTTGGAGACGGAAAATTAAAGAAGATGGGAGGGAAGAATGTTCTGTTTCAACATCACCTCACCAGTCAATAGCAACAGCACCGGCCAATAATATAAACAACAAAAATAATGGTGAGACGGAACTGAAGAAAAATCAGTCCACGTCTGCACCCAACGATGGTAAATAATCAACAGCTTGGTTCAACACTGAATGCGAACGCTATCCCTTTTTTTCATCCCCCCTTCTCTCCCTCATTGTTAAGAACAACACAACCTCTTGATGAAGCATTACAGAAGATGACAAGTTGGAATTTTCCAAGTAGAATTCAGAAAAAAGTATTGGAAGTTTTAAGTGAGTGGTATGCTAGTCATACATTGAACAGTATTCGCTGCGAATGGGAGAAAAAAACAAACCCGTCATCTTCTCAAAACGTACCGCTAAATATATTATCATATAATGTTGAAGGTTGGGGAACACGTTCCCTAGAAGTTACTGATTTAATTTTTAAAGTCGATAGTTCAATATGCGTGTTTACTGAAGTCGGTCTATTATGGGATAGTTTTAAAGTCCCACATTTCAATAGCTTCTACCAGAAAGGAACAAATAAAAATGGAGGAGTAATGATAGCGATTGGTAAACATTTGAAAGCTACTAGAATTGAAGTTAATATTGACAACACTGTTATTGTGGATGTTACAGGTCTAACTGAACCAGTAAGAATCATAGGAATATACTGGGCACATGACCAAGTTCGCGATATGAAGGATTTAGATCCCTTTATTATTAAAAATACAATTATTTCAGGAGATTTTAATGCGACAGTTCAAGAGTGGGGTAGTCCATCAACGGATACTCGTGGTAGAAAGTTGAAAAGTTGGACCGAGGATAATAATTTACAATTTGTTCCAACAACGATAAATTCATCTAAACGCTCAGAGAGAAATATAGATTTAACATTTACAAATGTTAATGGAGTAGATAGTGCAACGGTCATATTTGGTACGAGTGATCATTGGCCAGCAGTAGTAACTACGCATAACATAGGTTTCCTAACGAATAAATTTTTCCCACAAGTAAACTGGAATATTTTTCAAGTTTTACTAGTCCTGGTTGAAGATTTTTGGATAAATAAACAAAAGCTGCAGACTCCCGATCAATGGTACGAAAATTATATTCGTTTTTTGGCTGCTTTAAAAAATCGTCTTACTACTTGGAGAGAAATTGAAAAATATCGCCCTGCACTACCTGATGTTATTGTGAAAGAACTTCAGCAGATTAGACGAGTTCGTAACCAATATTATAGAGAAAGAAAAGCAAGAGGAGTGGGCAATGATGAAACAAGAGTGTTGCTGAGAGAGATGACTAGAGATGTTAGGAAGGAAATTTCTAAATATAAAGCAGCGAGATGGAATGATTTCTTATCAACTATTCAAGGTAGTCATGACAAAAGAGAAAAAATGTTTTGGTCGCATCTAGGAAAAATTTACAAAGCTAAGACTCTGCCATTTTCAAAACTAATGGTAGGCAATAAAGCTCTTTCTGATGAACAGGAAATAATAGATGCACTTTTTATGTACTCCGCAGAACAATCGAAAGCTCCTAAAGTAGATAAAAAGAACCAACAAGATGTACAGGTAGCCCTGGAACATAAGACTATCAAGGACTTATTGAGGACCTCAAAGGACTTAGAACTTGAAGCAACCTCAGTTGCTGAAGTGAAAATACTAATAAAGAAAATGAAGGGGAAAAAGTCTTCCGGTTTTGATGAAATATCGAATCTAATGATAAAGATGCTTCCACCTACATACATACAGTGCCTGGTAAAATGTTTTAACATTTGGTTAAAGGAGTGTAGGTACCCTAAAATTTGGAAAACAGCGAAAGTGATCACGCTGAACAAATTGAAAGCAGGAGTGCCGCGCTGCGATCAGACTAGACCGATTTCCCTTCTCTCAACACACTCCAAGCTTTTTGAAAAAATTCTTTTGGAGAGAGTTCGACTATGGGCGGAAGGGAATAAACTAGTTCCTCAGGAACAGTCTGGGTTTAGGAGCAAATGTCTTTTACAGACAAGAGCTCTGTCTATGTTTCAAGAAGTGAAGAACAACCTAGCAGCCAATGCCCCCACCCTAGCTATTTATGTAGACTATGAAAAGGCCTATGACCGTGTATGGCACATGGGCCTGATGGTGAAGTTTTTTAGGCTAGGAATTCCTGTAAGCCTACTCAAGATGCTAGAATCGTGGTTGGCGGATCGAACCGCCCACTTAAGTTTTGGCTCGAAAAAATCTGAACCAATAAAGGTTAGGATAGGCTTGCCTCAAGGAAGCAGTTTAAGCCCCTTTTTATTCGTAGTCTATCATTGCGATATAGTCAAGTGTTTTGGAGCACACCCGGGTCATCTATTCGCAGATGACCTGTGTGTGCTCATCAGACCCCCCCTTCAGAAATCCCTCAAGGACTTGATTAATGATTTGGAGATTGAGGGGACGAAAGTGTGCACGAATATTACACAATACTCGAAGCAATGGAAGCAGCCGTTAAATATAAACAAATGCGTCGGCCAAGTCTTTCATTCCCAGATCCGAAGACCCATAGTGAATGTTTTTATGGCTGGACAGAGA